AGCTGGGGGTCCGCCTCTGCCACCACCACCACCACCGCCACCACCACCACCACCCCTCTCTGGGAATGGGCCAGTCCCTCCCCCAGTCCCTCCTACTCTGGGGCCTGTGGGGGGCTCGGCCCCTGCTGGAGGTCGAGGGGCCCTTTTGGATCAAATCCGGCAGGGAATTCAGCTGAACAAGGTGAGGACCAGCAGGATAGAGGACTGGGGGTTTGGAACTCGGGGGTGTACTGTGCAAATAAGGGTGTTAGGGGTCTGGGGCTGAGACTGATGGGGTCCCAAGATTTTGGGGTTCAGTGATTTTGGGAGGTTGATGCGGAGAGGCGGGCTTGGAGCCTTGAAGGGGACTGGAAGGGGTGAGAAGTGCTCTCACAGGCCCTGAGCTCTCTGTGCTGTGCCCTGCTTGCTGCAGACCCCTGGTGCCTCAGAGAGTTCTGGGCTGCAGCCGCCACCTCAGAGCTCAGAGGGACTGGTGGGTGCCCTGATGCATGTAATGCAGAAGAGAAGCAGAGCCATCCACTCCTCAGGTGAGAGTCTGCCTTCCCCACCACCTTTGGGCTGCCCTCTCTAGAGCCCATCCTGCCAGGACAGTGACCCTGTTTCCCAGGGCTAGTGTTGGCCTAAAAACAACCCCAACAGCCCTAGCTGATTTGGCTCAGTGGTTAGAGCGTCAGCCTGTGGACCGAAGGGTCCTGGGTTCGATTCTGGCCAAGGGCACATACCTTGGTTGCAGGTTCAATCCCTGGCCCTGGTCGGGGCACTTGTGGGAGGCAACCAATTGATGTGTCTCTTTCACATCAATGTTTCTATCTCTCTCTCCCCCTTCTGCTCTCTTTAAAAAGCAATGGAAAAAATATCCTTGGGTGAGGATTAAAAAAACAAACAAACAAAAACAACAACCCCAACAGTCTCCATCAATAGTAACATTAGCCCCATCTGTTGATAGTGATAATGTGAATCTTATATCAGTCTCCTTTTTGACAATGTTAATGTTGTCATTATGTAACAATAGTATAATTAACTCTATCTTTAACAGTAATATTAACATTAATGACGCAGTATGTCCACACTATTAACATTAATCCCATTTGTTCAGTAGTATAAACATTAGCTCACTATGTGATGATAATATTATAAAGAACCCCATTTTTGACAGTAATATTAACCTTAACTCCATGTGTCAACAGATTAACACTAACTCATTGTATGATAATATTATAACTCAATCTTTTTGCAATAATGTTAACAGGAATCCCCTAATGTGTCAACAATATTGTTATTATATGACAATTATGTGAGGATAATATGAACCTCAACCTATTATGTAACAATAATATAATTAACTCCAACTTTGACAATAATATTAACATTACCCCAGAGTGTGTTCACAAGATTAACATGAATCCATTGTATGACAATATTTTAATGAGCCTCATATCTTTTTAAAAAAATGTGTTTTTATTGATTTTTAGAGAGAGAGGAAAGGAGAGGGATAAAGAGAAACAGATGAGAGAGAAACATCACCGATCAGCTGCCTCCTGCATGCCCCCTACTGGGGATCTAGCCCGAAACCCGGGTATATGCACCGACCCGGAATCGAACTGTGACCTCCTGGTTCATGGGTGGAAACTCAATCACTGAACCACACTGGCCAGGTTGAACCGCATATCTTTTTTCCCCTTAAATATCTTTATTAATTCCAGAGAGAGGAAGGGAGAGGGAGAGAGAGAGTTGAAACATCAGTGATGAGAAAGTTGTCATTGATCACCTGCTCCTGACTGGGGAGCGCAACCCGGGCCTGTGCCCTGACCGGGAATCGAAGAGCGATCTCCTGGATCCTAGGTCGATGCTCAACCACTGAGTCATGCCCGGCCGGGCTGAACCTCATATCTTTTGACAATGATATTATTATTATTATTATTTTAATTTTTAAATTTATTTTTCAATTACAGTTTTGTTTTTTTTTAAATACATCTTTATTGATTTCAGAGAGAGGAAAGGAGAGGGAGAGAGAGCGATAGAAACATCAATGATAAGAGAGTCATTGATCAGCTGCCTTCTGCACGCCCCCGACTGGGGATCGAGCCCGCAACTCGGGCATGTGCCCTGACCGGGAATCGAACCTCCATCTCCTGGATCCTAGGTTGATGCTCAACCGCTGAGCCATGCCCGGCCGGGCGACAATGATATTATTAAGACCATTATGTGTCAACAATATTAACATTAACCCACTATGAAACAACATTGTAATTTAGCCCACCCTTGCTAATAATATTTAAATTCACCCCATTAAGGGACAAACCTGTTAATGTTAATCCTTTGTGTGACAATAATATCCCAATTAACCACACATTTTTTACAATAATATTAACTTCAACTCCAACTAGAACCCAGACCCCAGCTATATCTTGTCCCAAACAGAAACCCTAATTCTCTCTCCTCTGAGGGGGCCTCATCCTTATCCAATGCACAGGCCCCAGATCTGATTTCCTAGCAGGAGACCTTAGCACCCCAGGACCCCGAGTCCTGACTTCTCCATCCCTAGGAAACCCCCTCTCCAGGGCTTGTGAATCCTCGTGTCCATCTGAGTTCCACTTTTTCTGTCCCCTTTCAGATGAAGGGGAGGACCAGGCCGGAGATGACGATGAGGATGATGAATGGGATGACTGAGTTACCACCATCCCCACCTGTTTTGCACCTGATCCCCTGGCAGCTGTTGCTCGAGGCCTTCTTCTCTTGGGTTCCAGGCCCCCAAGGCGTTTCTTCCCTACCAACCCCTCCAATGCTGTTATCTCTGACTGGCCCTTAGTCGCCTTAGCAATAGCCCTTTTTTATACAAAATTTCTCAGTTCTCAGTCAAAGATTTTAAAACAAAAATAAAATAACTGTCTTTTTGTTTCTCTAAATCTGTTTATGTTCCAAATGTGGGAATTTGGGGTCCTTTTCTCCAAAAGTTCCTTTTATTCATCTATACTATTTCATTTATTTAGCTTTACACATATACATTCATTCATTCACTTGTTCCCTCAGTCATTTAGCCTGTATTTCTTTGTTTCCTTCTGCCCTTTTTTTCTTTCCCCAAATATTTATTGTCAGGCACTACTTTAGAGTCTGGGGATAAAGCAGTGGAAAAAGTCGACAAAAATTCTTGCCCTAGCGGGGCTGACATTCTAGGGACTGACATTCCAGGGGAGGAGACAGACAAGAAAAGAGGAGTCAAATAGAAACAAAAGATAGTTTTAGATCATGATAAGTGCTGTGTGCTGAGGGGAAATGACATTCAGAAAAAGTGTTCTGGAAAAGCCGCTTGAAGTAGGTGGTAGTTATGCTGAACCTAAAGAGAGAGGAGTCAACCAGGTGAATATTTGGGGGAAGGGCATTCCAGGCAGAGGGAAGAGCTATGCAAAAGCCCTAAATTGGGGGAAAAGCTTGGCATGAGGCCAGGTGTGGTGAACGAGTGGGAGAGTTATTTATTCATTCACTTATTTATTTTTAAAAAACTGTTCAACTCACACAATACTCAATGAAGAGAACTTTCAATGGTCATACTCCTCCACTCTCCATGCACAAAACTCACACAAGATCCTAATGGTCAGAATCCCCTTCTTAGTATTAAAATTTGTTTCTGTACAGTTCCCAGTTTAAACCAAGTCCTGGCCAATGGCAGAGGAAGAGGAAAAGACTTACTAATCAGATAGATCTGCTCTAGAACCCAGGTAAGATGCCACACTTCTGAGTCTCAGTTTCCTTATCTATACAATGGGGGTAACATTATGTAACATGGATTCCCACTGGGTCACCCCTCCTCCTCCTCTTCCTCCTCTTCCTCCTTCTCCTCCAGGACTTGCCCTCCAGAAAACAGGAGCAGCTCAAAACTGTACCTGGTGTTTAAAGCATTGCCAATGGAGTCATTAGCAACCCTTGCACATTAAAGCCTAGAATCGAGGTGCCTACCCCTTCCCATTTCTGAAATCTGGTGTATTGAAGATCTCAGGTAGCCTACCTTTAGAAGAGGAGGAGGGGAGAAAGACAAAGGTGAGGGAGAATCCAGAGAGGGCAGATTTCTTCCATCTTCAAGAGCAGTGGAAGAAATTTGGAACCATTGGGATACAGGTTGGGGGGTTAGGGGAAGAAGGGAAACAGCCAGGCAGTAGGGGAAGCTGGGGCGGTGAGGTTGTAGGTATGGAGAATGGGAGCTAGCTTTGTACCTTTAGAAATCTCCCGCTGCTGGGGAAGCTGGAGAAGGAGGGAGTCTCAGGTTCCCTTTCATTCTTCTATTATTCTTTAACCCCCACTCTACTCCCCATCTACCCAGGCCAGATCCCCAGGACAAGCACCGAGTCTAGGAAGGTCTTGTCATATGACTTACTCCCCTCCCAATCCCCCCACCTGCTGAAACCCTAGAAATTGTGTTCTGGGACCCCTTGGTCAGGCTTTGTTTTAGAAAATACCTTCTGAATCCCCAGTAGCACTGGCTAGAGCAGGCACAGACCTGGGGTAAAAGAATTGACTGTGGGCAAGTTACTTGACCTCTCTGGGCCTCAGTTTTCTCAGTCTTTAAAATGAGGATGAAAACGCTTATTTCACAGGCTGTAGTCAGAATGAAAGTAGATGGTGCCCTAGCCGGTTTGGCTCGGTGGTTAGAGCATTGGCCCGTGGACCGAAGGGTCCCGGGTTCGATTCCAGCCAAGGGCACGTACCTTGGTTGCAGGCTCAGCCCCTGTCGGGGTGTGAGCAGGAGGCAACCACTCAGTGTGTCACTCTCACATCGATGTTTACCTCTCTCTCTCTCTCCCCCTTCTACTCTCTCTGAAAAAGCAATGGAAAAAAAATATCCTCCAGTGAGAATTAACAAATAAATAAATAAAGTAGATGGTGTCTGCTAAGTGCCTGGGTCCTTGTAGGCATCTATAAACATTAGCAGCAGCAGCTGCTGTTGTTATTATTGGATGTCACTAATCCTGAGTCACCACTGATTATAAAATGCATCATTATTTTATGTATCACTAAGAAAGACAAAAAAAGTACTGCAATTGAATTATGACCCACCAGTGCTTGAGAGATGGAGCCTGATTTGAGAGATGTTAAAAACAACAACAACTAAATGCTTTTGGTGCCCTGGCTGGCTATGCTGTCCCTTAATCTGCATTCCAGTTCCACATGTATATTTCCTGGTGAAAAGTCATTCCACTGATCACCCATGGTGTGTGTACTCTCTGTATGTGTGCTACACTCCAATATGAGGTTTACATTAAAAACAGGTCAAACCTGTGTGGCTTGGAATGGATAAAACCCTGTTTTGGTCCCAGCACTGGACAAGGCAATGTACACACTAGGCACTAAATTAATACTGAATGGACAAGTGGCTTGGAGTAGGACAGAGTAATAGCAGGGTGGCTTCTTACTTTTGAGGTCTCCTGAAAAGGTGCTAGTCCTTCTGAAAGATTCATTTACCAGGTGAGTGGGAGATGCCCACTCCAAGGTCACTCATCTGAGGTTTTGTTTTGTAGAAAAGCAAGCAAGAATTTCTTGACTGCAACAAAAATATACTTAGGATAGTGAAACAAGGAAGGGCATAGAAGAAGCAATAGGAGAGCCTAGGCTGGGCTGCTTTGGCTCACTGCGAAGTCAGAGAAAAGGGGGCCTTGGAGACAGGTTCAGGGAGTTAGCCTGGAACGAGCTACTGCTGCCCATTGCTCCCCTGGTTGTAAGTCTCATGTAAGTCCCTTAGCTTGACTATTGTAAAGTCAAGGTTAAAGGATACATCCCTGTGGGGGAAGGAGAGGGGGAAGGGAATGGCACAGGCATACTCCCTGGAGGGAGAGCACCTCATCTGAGGTTTTGCAGATGAAGAAACTGCCTACACAATTTAGTAAATGGTGGAGTTGGGATTTTAACCCAGGCTGCTGTGCTACCAGAATCTAGGCCTTTACTCACTATCCTATACTGTTTAGGAAGGGCCAAGGGATGCTCCCCAAAGACCCCCACATCACCCTTCCAGATTCAGGAAGAAAGAGGTCATACTTTGATACATCCAATAAGGGGTTAATATCCAAAATTTATAAATAACACATGTAATTCAACACCAAAAAAACAAAAAATTCAATTTAAAAATGGGCGGAGGAGCTGAATAGACACTTCTCCAAAGAGGACATACAGATGGCCAATAGACATATGAAAAGATGCTCAATATCACTAATCACCAGAGAGATGCAAATTAAAACCACAATGAGGTATCACCTCACACCTGTCAGAATGGCTACCATCAGCAAATCATCAAACAACAAGTGTTGGCGAGGATGTGGAGAAAAAGGAACCCTAGTACACTGCTGGTGGGAATGCAGACTGGTGCAGCCACTATGGAAAACAGTATGGAGGGTCCTCAAAAAATTAAAAATGGAACTGCCTTATGACTCAGCAATTCCACTTCCGGGTATATATCTGAAGGAACCCAAAACACTAATTCAAAAGAATATATGCACCTCTATGTTCATTGCAGCGTTATTTACAATAGTCAAGCTATGGAAGCAACCCATGTGCCCATTAATAGACTAGTGTATAAACAAGTGGTGGTACATATTTGCAATGGAATATTATTCAACCATAAAAAAGAATAAAATCTTACCATTTGCGACAGCCTGGACGGACATAGGAGGGTATTATGCTAAGTGAAATAGTCAGAGAAAGACAAATAGTATATGATTTCACTTACATTTGTAATCTAAAGAACAAAATAAGTGAACAAACAAAATTGAAACACTCATAGATGCAGAGAACAGACCAGTGGTTGCCAGAGGGGAGGGGGCTTGAGGGAATGGGTGAAAAAGATGAAGGGATTAAGAAGTACAAATTGGGCCCGGCCAGGCTTGGCTCAGCGGTTGAGCGTCAACCTAGGATCCAGGCGATCGGGGTTCGATTCCCTGTCAGGGCACATGCCCGGGTTGCGGGCTCGATCAATGACTCTCTCATCATTGATGTTTCTGTCTCTCTCTCTCCCTCTCCTTTCCGCTCTCTGAAATCAATAAAGATATGTTTAAAAAAAAAAAAAAGAAGTACAAATTGGTAGTTACAAAATAGTCACGGGATGCAAAGTACAGCATAAGAAATACAGTCAATAATATTGTAATAGCTATGTATGGTGCCAGGTGGGTATGGAAATACTGGGGGAGCACTTTGTGAGGTGTATGATTGTCTGACCACTGTGCTGTACACCTCAAACTAATACAAAATAATATTGAATGTAAACTGTCATTTTAAAAAAAACAATGATATATATCCCAGGCCAGTGTGACTCAATTGGTTGGAGTGTTGTCTAGTATACCAAAAGATTATGGGTTTGATCCCTGGTCAGGGTGCATATGGAGGGTGGCTGATCTCTCTCTCTCCCCTTCCTCCCTCCCTCTCCCTTCCTCTCTCAAAAATCAATAAAAAAACCAAAGCCAAAACAAACCCTACATATGTCTATGTGTAGAAACAGAATACTTGTTTTGGAAATGTATCTATTAGAAAAAACTGGAAAGGAACATAGAAACATTGTGTCTAGGGAGTTTTTTCCTTTTAAAATTCCTTTAACATTGTATTTAAAAAGTTTTAAGTAAAAAAAAAATAGATCATGCTTTAAACCACTCTCATGGGTTGGACAGGTCTCTTGAACTCCTGGGAGTGGGAGGGTCCTGCCTGCCCCAGGAGACGGAGCCTGTGAGCACTGACATTGGACTCTGTTCTAGATGGAATAAGGGAGGGAAGGAGAATCCATGGTGGGACTTATGCTGTTGACTGTTCTACTCAAGGCAAGCAGGAGCTGATGCAACCTATCATTTATCCAAACAGCTCACAGCTGGACTGACAGACAGGCAGACAGAATAACTGTTTGATTAACTGTGTAACTGTTTGGTTGACTATATAACTCATGGACCGACAAGGAGAGGGGCAGTTTTAGGAACTGACGGTAATGTTTCCTGATGCTGTGCAGTACTGGATAGGTAACAATTACAACCCCCTGGGACTGACTGGGGCTGGTGGTCTGACAGTGTAGAAGACCTGAAGCCTCCTGAGGGACTGACATGCTGGCTGAGCCATGGTGGTGGCAGGATGCTGTGGATGGATGACTATAGCTAGGAATCGCACCCGGCCTGAGGGAGTGTTTGGATGTTAAGCTGCCTGGTGATGTGTAAAGGAAGGCTACCCTGAGGGAATTTCAGGCTGGCTGATGGACAGATCTGTGGCCCTCTGATACGTAGCTGTCTCAGGTGACTGACCTTCCACCCCGCCGGAATCAGCATGCTTGGCAGACCATATGCTCAGTTGTATGCTGAGCATGGCTACCTGGCTGACTGACAATATGATGAGGGGTGGACAGAACGAGTCACAAGCCAGCTGACCAACTGAAAGAGCAGTGTAGCTGCCTGGCTCGATTACTGTATGAGGTTAGAATCGCAGCTGCACTGATGGGTCAGAAGATACTGACTGACTGTCCAATGTAGGGTATGCCTCCCTGAGAAAGGACGGACTGCTAACCCACTGACAGGTGGTGTGCAGGCTTAATGCTACCTTTAGTTTCTGTGACTATTTGCTCTGAGGGAATAAACTACCTGATCATGGTCGGAATGAGGGGGTAATGACAGTCATTGACAACTGATGGTGGATAGTGTGACTGCCTGACAGGGCTACATGAGATGCTGCCAATGCCAAATGCCAGCCAGGCCTGACCTAATCATAGCCTGCCTGAGGGCATGGCTGGTGTCTGGGGTTTCCTGAGGAGGAATGAGATGATTTCCCCAGGGGGATTCAGAGCAGGTGCCAGGGCAAGAGTAGCCAGAGAAACCGTTGCTTGAGTGACTGCCAGTGAAGAAGGGACCGTCTGGGGCAGTGACAGGCTGACTAGCAGTGTGGCTGTTAGTAAGCGCAGCATGTCCGCCTCTAGGGACTTGCGGCTGGCGCGGGGTGGATGGGTGGGGGTTGCACGCGGATGGCTGTTACTGGTGACTGAAGTGAATGGCAGGCATGGCTGGAAGTGTCTGGCTAGGCAGTTGTGATGACTGACCCATTGTGTGATTTGAGTCTGGAGTGATTTTGAGCCTCAGCAGCAGTCTGGGACCATAGTCCACCGCAGGAGCGGAGTCACGGCCTGTTCGGGATTAAAATGTGACGGGCCGCCTGAGGGTGGTAATTGGGGGTCTGACAGAACGGAGGATTTCCGCCACCGCCACCCCATCCCCTGCCGCCCCGGTCTGGCTGGCTGACAACAGGATTGGCTGACAGCGTGACAGACAGACCGGCGGACGGGCAGGGCCTCCAGCAACCTCCGTAGCCGCTGCTGCCGCCGCTTCAGCCGCCCAGACGCACGCTGGGAAAGCGCCGGCGAGCACCCGCCTTCGGGACCGAGCAGAGTGGCGG